CGCTTTTTAGTTCGTCGAGATTTCACCAGGGGCTTAAATGGCGCCACCGTCGCTCTTTAGTTCATCGAGATTTCACCAGGGGCTTAAATGGCGCCACCGTCGATTTTTAGTTCCTCGAGATTTCACCAGGGTCTTAAATGGCGCCACCGTCGCTTTTTAGTTCGTCGAGATTCCACCAGGAGCTTAAATGGCGCCACCGTCGCTTTTTAGTTCGTCGAGATTCCACCAGGAGCTTAAATGGCGCCACCGTCGCTTTTTAGTTCGTCGAGATTTCACCAGGGGCTTAAATGGCGCCACCGTCGCTTTTTAGTTCATCGAGATTTCCCCAGGGTCTTAAATGGCGCCACCGTCGCTGTTTAGTTCATCGAGATTTCCCCAGGGTCTTAAATGGCGCCACCGTCGCTCTTTAGTTCATCGAGATTTCACCAGGGTCTTAAATGGCGCCACTGTCGCTTTTTAGTTCATCGAGATTTCACCAGGAGCTTAAATGGCGCCACCGTCGCTTTTTAGTTCATCGAGATTTCCCCAGGGTCTTAAATGGCGCCACCGTCGCTTTTTAGTTCATCGAGATTTCCCCAGGGTCTTAAATGGCGCCACCGTCGCTTTTTAGTTCATCGAGATTTCCCCAGGGTCTTAAATGGCGCCACCGTCGCTTTTTAGTTCATCGAGATTTCCCCAGGGTCTTAAATGGCGCCACCGTCGCTTTTTAGTTCATCGAGATTTCCCCAGGGTCTTAAATGGCGCCACCGTCGCTTTTTAGTTCATCGAGATTTCCCTAGGGTCTTAAATGGCGCCACCGACGCTTTTTAGTTTATCGAGATTTCCGCAGGGTCTTAAATGGCGCCACCGTCGCTTTTTAGTTCATCGAGATTTCCCCAGGGTCTTAAATGGCCGGAAAAAATTTTTCTTATAGAACGTGGCCTGTAGAATCCATAATTTCAACCAGTTCCAAGATTGGCCTAAAGTGCTGACGCTTAATATTTAGTCATCAGCCTTTTTAAATTATTTTAAGCAGCAGTTTCACTTAACACTGCTCATAATCATGTGATTTGTTAAGCATTACGAATTGAGATCATTACACACTTAATTAGTATAATTTAGGAATAAGTAATAAACGTGGCGGATTTAATCAAATTTCGTCTCCGGGTAGCTTCTTCCGTTCATATCAAGTCATTAAATTTCGGCATGAAGATGATCCCCGTTTTATTCACGATATTGACAGTCGTTTCGCATGCAAACCTTGTAAATCTGGAAGAAAATCGCGTATATAATTCACAAAGGGAAAGAGGGAAATGTGAAACCGGTGGATATTTGCATATCATTAACGAAACTCTTAATGGTAAAGCGGCTCAAGTGATAAAAATTTGTACAAAATGTAACGTCTCCTCTGTTAATGAAAACGAGCACGTGGACAGTGAAAGGGTAAGAAACGAACGTGCCTTTTTTTTTAAAATGTCGGGCAGCTCCCTAATAAATATATAGGCGTTATCTCTAAAACGCACCTCAATCCGTTAAGGGTTTAAATTTTGCAGGAAATGCTGTTAGTTAACAAATTTATCACTTAACCGACGTCGAGATTAGATGACGTCCTGGACGATTTTGTCACGCACCTCCTATTTTTGCACGGATCACCTTGCTTTAGATTTGCATTAGATTAGATAATTCGGGCCTTTTTGGAGGGATGGAAAGCTATTTATATTTTTTGACAATTTCGAAAAGGGTAATTGACACAATTATTATTAATTTGTGTTAAATTGTACTAAATTCTAAATTAAGGGGTGCAGAATTAAATCTGAATAGACGCAATGCTTTTTCAAGGGTCGAGTATAACGGGATTAAGTTACCCTTCGAGACAAACTCCGGTCATTAAAAATGAATCGGAGGATATGCCCATTACGATGTATGTTTGAGAGTTTAGTAAATTGGCTGGTTTTCGCGATCCTAAACGGTTTGCATTGCAGACAAAATTTAACTCAAGGGGGTTCAGTCACGCAAGGAAAATTTTTTTCAACCCCCTCATGTTTCATATAATATAAAGAAATATGTAAGGCATTTATACTAAAGTATGCATTACGGGTTTAAAAACTGCCTCATCATTTACCTATAAAATAAAGTAGCAGTATACTCGAAATAATCGTTTAGGTTGAAGCCTGGTATTATCTTCCTTTTTTCCAAAAATCGACTGCACCAAAATTTCTCGGGAAAACACTTTTTGTTATTAATTTTGGCGCGTAGAATCCAAAACAATTCGTACTTTTTTGATCAGACTTCTCAATCAAAAGTTATAGACTAGAAACCAATTTCGAAAGAAAATTCAAAGGGCTGTAACTTTTGAACTAGTAGCCCAATCTTGGAACTGTTTGAAATTATGGATTCTACAGGCCACGTTCGATGTGAGCCAATTTTTTTTTCGGGGCAAAAAAAAGCAGTGTATTACCCAGGGGTTGAAGGGATAATTCTAACGCATTTTCGGTGTAGTAAATATTCGAGTCATAGCATATAATAATGCATTTATTAAATATTGTAGTATAAATCGTAATATGGTGTAGAAGTTGCAAAAAATTAACCCAACCGATAGTAAACGTTTGTACAGAAATAATGTAATTTAGCTGCTTTCGAATTTGTAATGAAAATGCCTATGCAATTTATGTAAAGGAAACATTGTGAAAACGATGGGAAATCATTACAAAATAACTTCGCATATTCTGTATTCAACTAACATGCTGAAATATGTAGCGCGAAACTGTCCTTAGAAAGAATGCAGCTCATATTGCATTTTTAAAGATCGCCCTATGAATCAAATTACCCCGCAAAGTACAATGCCTTCAGATCGACATTTAGTACCTAGGTAGTCAGTGCACTAATTTCTCAAGCACGCTTCTGAAGTAGACCGAATTATTTAATGCCACTGACTTTCTCAAGTCAATGTGATTGAGTAGCTTATATAATATTAATTTTCAGAAATGGCACGCTGTCAGCGAGAATAACGCCCAAGTATTGGATAATGAATGGAACCACCGCAAATCACTTCGAGATGATAGTGCTATTTGGAGCTTAATTCGTGAAATGTACAATTCCGTCAACAATGGTGATAGAAATTGTGATGTAATACGATGCCTTCGATTGATCAATTGTAATCCAACTAAGCATGGATTACTGTTAACTTTCAATCTTAGCAGTTTGAAGAGCAGTCAAATCGTGACAAGTGCCGAACTTCACGTAATTAGGCAAGGAATTTCTATCACGACCTACAAACTTGTACGGTGATCCCATGTCTTGAGTGTGTGAGCGCACAGATGATCCTAAAGATGTTCTACTTTGAGTGCTATTCATTCCTCACAGTCTTATTTTTCAGGTTGCATTCGAAAAGACCCAGTATTATTCGATTATATACAATCGACTCGGCTCTCGATTTGAAAAAAGCGGACTTGCACAAACTCATCAGCGCCGTATACGTGCCGCAAGCTAATTTAAGTAACCACGTAATTATACATCGGAATGTGCTTTAAGGTTACACAAAAGTCTATTTTAGGTCTTCCACGTGAATCATCTAGCAGCAGAGGCAATGACGCAGAAAACCATAACTTTTCTTCTAACAGTCACCGATAGTGCCGAAAAGTCAATCGATTTTAAATTAAACGATGCACTATTCGTCGTGCGATTGGCTACGAATGCTTTTAGCGACACGGAACACCCCATCGCGACTACATCAATGCCGCGCGAAACATTTGAAAGTTGCGAACTTCAACAATTTACCCTCAATTTAACTGCATTTATTTCCGTTTTATTTCCCAAAAGCGCCATTATAAACTTTTGCGCCGGAACTTGCAGAAATTTTAATCAGTTGACAAATAACGCCAAACTTGTACAGATCTCGAAATCGGGATTTAGGGCGTGCTGCGTCTCTAAACACTACTCGTCTCTGACGGTGGCCTTTTATGATTATTTTGATAACATCGTCATTAAAAGGTACCCCAAGGCGATCAGTCTTGGTTGCGAATGCCGCTAATTGTCTCTTTGCTTTGAGTGCACGTCATGGTCCCTGCTTCTTTAAATTGACCGTCAACAAGTGGTCGGAGCAACCGTGGTTCAAATGGCCCCAGTAGGGCCCTCGATAATTTCCAAATAAAAAAACCGAACCTTTATTAATGGGTACGGGTAATCTATTCCGCAAAATTAATACTGCAATTGCGCAGAGTGGTTGAAAAGTTTTCCCTTGTGAGCTTTTCGCAACAAATTTCAGTACGCGTCCCGACGTCCTTATGAGCATTTACATGAGGAACGCACATTTACACGCGCGCAAATCGCTACGTTTCACCCAAAACCGCCAAATTTTACTTTGAGCGCACATGTCGCGTATCCCACAATCATACGATGGAAAACTCACACAAAGGAGGGCTGCGTAATGTAATTAAATCTAAGACACTACATGCACTAATTGCGCGCCTTTGATCGGCGACGTGTGCTTAATTAGTTTGCAACAACTCGAAAATCACAATTTACCACTAACAAAAAAGTAATCAACGGTTAATTATCAGATAATGAGAGTCGTGCGCCAGTTTCTTCTCCGTGGAGCGATGTGAATGTGGGCTAGTGTAAAACGTGGACAATGACAGTCAAAATTTCCAAAATCTTTCCCGTTTTTCTTCTGGTTGCCGTTTTCAAAAACTTGCCACACGTGCACTCCGGTAAGCATAATTTAATTTACTTCTTTGAGTAAAAAGAGATCTTTTTACATAGAACTTTCTCTTCAGTATAATTACTGGAATACGCGCAAATCATTTTCTTGCCATAGTTAAATATCTCTCAAAGAATACTCTTCCCTTCTTAATCCTTGGGAGACTATTCAGAGGTTAGAGTCCATCCCGAGATTTTATTAGAACACATTGTAGTAATTCCTAAGTTCTTCAGATTTTTCAAGAGCGTTCTTTTACTAGGTTAATAAGCGATTTGAACGGCCCGTTACAGAAAACTGAAATTTAGTTTAGTGCTAATTTTGAATCGGGTTTCCAATTAATGTTTATTGACGGCTATTGATTTTTATATACGGTCCAATAATACGACTCTCAAATAGATTATGATTATTTTTACTGGTGCCATTTTACCTTCTTATACAGTCAATATGTGTTTAATCCGGTTGCTAATAATAAAAAAATTAATTCAGGAAAAATAAATGCTTACTTTTTAATTTAAATTCCTTAAGTAATTGGAATAATTTCTTCTTTTAAAAGGTAACGTAATTTTTTTTTTAATGCCTTTATTTTATAGTGGGCGGAGTGTTAGCTAATTAGCTATTATTAATTAATTAATTAATTAATTAATTAATTAATTTGGTATAATAAATTGAAACCTACAGAAAGTTCTACCGTACCCCTAAAACACCAATTTTCCTTCCTCTGAACAACCTAATTTTTTTCAGTTCTAATTCGATGTTGCTTTAACCTTCATAGATTTCACTGTGTTGAATCTATGGAACAAGGAGCGCGTTGATTTATCTAAGACCCCTCGGATCATAATTCCCTTACCAACCGAAAAAAAGTCTTAGAACAAAATTGTACACATAATATTTTTGATCACCAGGGGCGTATCAAACTTGCAAATTTTCCACTGATACAAAGAAAACCACACATTCCCTAAGAAAATTTCAGAGAAAGAGCAAGTCGAAACGTTAATTTGTAAAAAAAACTTTATTTTCCGAATCCAAGTGTGCCATGGTGAAACAAAAAGGTTCAATTCTCAAAATTAACAGTAAAGTGTCGGCAGTGTATGACTGTTTTTTAATCAACTTTGAAAAAATGTCTCAAACTCAAGCAGAAAAGATTGACATAGTGTTTATTCTGAGAGACAGTTACCGAATTTGTTTGCTGGTGCCACGAGTGTACGTTGGGAGATATCCTGACAGAACACATTCAGATCCACGCGTGTTTCAAAAAGTGTTGGATAGATTTACAGCTACCGAGAGTGTAAATCGACCAAGGAGAATTAAACGGACGCAGGTTTTGGCGGAAGATCATGAATTGCAAGTTCTCGGGGCAGCTGTTGACAATTCACCTTTTGAAACGCGTGTGGATCTGGATGTGTTCTGCCAGGATATCCCTCAGCGTACTCTTGTGACGCCAACAAACAATTCCGGTAACAGTCTCCAAGAATAAACACCATATCAACCAGTTCTGCTTGAGTTTGGAACATTTTCGCAACGCTGATTAAAAAACAATTATACACTGGCGACACTGTACCTAATTGAACATCTTTTGTTTCATCATGGCACACTTGGTTTCGGCAAAGAACGTTTTTTTTACAAATTGGCGTTTCGACTTGGTTTTTCTCTAAAATTTTCTTATGGGTTTTGTTTGTATCAGTCGAAAATTTGTAGGTTTGGCTACCCAGAAGTATAATTTGTTTAAGGAGGTGCAATTTTAAATTTTCAAAAATATGACATTTGGCAAAGGTCAATCAAAAATTTTATTTTTTCAATAAAGTACCTAAAAAAATTGTGTGGCAGTGGAAGAGGCCTTAACCTGTGCCTCAATTCCTTAATTAACCGCCTGCGCGATTTAGTTTCTTTAACAAAAATTTCGAAAAACTGTCTAATTTGACGAAAAAAGGTTATAACAGCGAAATCGTTCAAGTTAGAGATGTTACATAAAAAATAAGTATTTTTCAAGTACGTTCCAAATCAGTAATAAAATATGGGGTATTCCATTTTAAAAAAATGCGAGTTGATACGCCACTGGAATACAGCACGCCCCTGGTGTTCAAAAATATTTTAGAAACATGCCGGCGGTAATTATAATAATAATAATAATAATAAAGTTTATTCGTGTAGTATTATCTGAAGATATTTACACATGTCAATTATCAAGTAGAGAACAATAAAACTTAACACTTAAACTTAACAACAAAGTAATCGTCTATACAATATAGGGGATTGCAAAGCAACGATTCTTTTACTTGTTTCTTAAACAAATGTGTCGGTAAATTTTTTATTTCAGTGGGTAGGGCATTAAAGAACTTTATGGACCAGAAGTTAGGCCCGTATTGTGAGGTGGCTAGTCTCACGAAGGGAGTGCGTAAGTTTTCGCAGTTTCTTGTGCTGTGTGAGTGGAAATCTTTGCATGTATTAAAACAGTGTAAGTTTACTTTCGCATAGCACAAGCAAGAATATGCATAAAGCGAATAGAACGTCATTATCCTGAGTCGTTTGAATGCAGACTTTTGCTCGGGTTTCGTTGGTTTTGGGTGAAAAAACCTTTTTAAGAGCGTCCCGCGGGGCCAGATTTCAGGGTTCAAAATGTTATCTAGATTATTCGTGTCTAATTGGTACAATTTGCTCTTTTTTCGGCATCTTTTATAGTAAAGGAATTATGATCGTAAGACATAGATTCGGTTAAATGAGAAAAGAGTTGTCGTTTTAAGAGCTTATTCAAGATATGCTTTTGTTTTTTGAAAAAAATCCACAGTTTACTAGATATGGGCGAAAAACAGATTTAATGATTTTTCTTTTAAGTAGAATCGTTAGTATTAGAAATACGGAAATATGCAAAGAACAAAAATTGTAGATTTTTTTACGCTTAATGAGATACATTTATTATTTTCCATTCTTCTTTTATAATTTTCGAGTTATAACGCAAACTTCCATTTTTTTTAATGGCAACCATAGTTGCTATGACATTTTTAAAAAGGGCATGTTTTCTATTTACAGTTGATATAAGGTTCGTTGTACTTACTTTGACAGATAAACATGATACAGAACTGTTTGTCTTATTGAGAGTAGTAAAAACAGTATGCCATGGGAGTCATTTTTGTCCTTCAATCAATTATAATATTTAACTTAAAACTTTAGACACTCAAATAAATCAACTTTGAAGTCATTACATGTCAAAAAATTAATCTAATCCTACCATCTAAATTGCAAAAAGAATTTACCACAGCATCACGTACGTAGTTCTTCTTTTGTCGCATATGTTCGCTGATAAATTAAACCCTATTAGAACACCGAAAAGAAAAAAATCTAAAATTGAAAGATATCTGGTGATCTTAGTGACCATAGAACCGGCCCGTTCGGGGTTCCTATCTATCCATGAATTTGGAAATAGTTGGTTTAGGTGCTCTCGTACTAGTAGTTGGTTGTGCGGCGGGGCACCCTTGTGTTGAAACTATCGTAAATTACGTCGTGTTTCCAAATCTAACTCATCCTACATATAAAATAACGTTGGCCTGTTCAATTTTCGTCGTAAATGAAACGTCCAAGAATTCGCGATCCAATAATTCCACAACAAACATTAAATCCAAGTGTTCTTTGAGGCCTTCAAGAATGAACTGCAGTATTTTGTTTATTTATCTTTGCATGGCATGATACGATCTACTTTTAATAGTGTATTGAATATGATTATTAATTTCACTAAGTAGTGAATTTTCGAAGATGGCTTTTAAATATGTCAAATGTGCCACAGTTACACTATTACCTACCTCACTAGATATTGTCTTCCATGGCAAACTCTATTTATTTACCTCTCAATAATACGGAAATTCTTGGAGCGCGTTTATTTATTAAAGTACGTTTAGCAAGCCTTATAATAATAATAATAATAATAATGCTTTATTGCCCAAACAGAATAAATCCAATAACAGGACAAAATTAAATTAAATTCAAGTAGAGAGTGATAACTTAATAATATAATTTACACAAAAAAAATACTTAAATAATTTAAATCAAAATGAACACATATAGAGTAAGTAGATATCATAACCTGTGATTTACAATATAAAAAATATACGACCTTTAATTTGTAATTAACTGAATAATAGATTTAAGTTTCATACAAAAAATATCACTTGTATTCGAAATTAAATTGTAGTCTTTACACATGGTGTATATCGGAGATTTCTCTAAAATATTGGTTTTCGCCAACGGTATGTAAAATGTAAAAACATGCCTTGACGACAGTCTAGGTACGGAAAAACTTAAACACTGTAACAGCTCACTGCAGTCCGTTTCGTTTTGTATTAATTTATACAAAAAAGTGATGCCTATACGCTTTCTCCGAACAGAACAGTTTTATTACCTATACAGAAGGGTTACTCTTAGTGTCCCTTCACACTAGGCGACTTCGCAAGTAGCACTCTTTGCGGTACATGCTGTTTCTTCGCTCGGCTGTCAATGGAAAGAACCATCTGACCCGTCGCCCCCCTCTGAAGATGCTGCCGCTCAACATCCCGTATCACCAAATTGAAAAATGGTTAGCAGTGGAGAAGGGTCCAACCGCATGGGCATGGAGTAGAAGTCATCAGGGGCTGATACTCATTCAATCATCTACTGTGTACCTAATTTGGTTCCAATCGGTTCAGCCGTTAAACCGGAATTCAGGCAGACAGACCGATTTCCGTCAAAAAGTGGGAGGTCATTTCTTATTCAATGCCCAATATATCTCCATTACTAACATGTGGGCGGTAAAAATCATATTTGCTTCATTTTTTCATTGTTTGATTGACCATTGATTTGTAAGTGAAAATAATTACACCACCAACATTCGTCAACATTGCTTGAGAACTTACCTACAAATACAAATGTAGTTAGGACACCAGATGGATCCACTCCTCTGGCGATGGAAACTTGACAGTTTGGTCTTTCTTCCAAGAAACCAGCGCCACCGTCTATTCCTTCCACAATTTTCTGCAAATGCAACAAGGGGTGTGCTCAATGGTATGTGCGTACTGCAAGGGAAACTCCTGCACTAACTCCCTCCAACCAGATGCAATTGACGAACCAGCTGTTGACCAAGACCTAGCTGGGGTGACGGAAATAGCACACTTTGAGGAGCCGAGTGGCCCAACGACAATTAAAAGTCACCTATTTTTCCCCTTTTCTTCATACCTTTTTTTATTATTTTGTACATCTGGTATCATCCAAAAACTTTTATTGATTTCGATATTGTGAGTCATTTACAAGATATAACCTTAAAACCGCAAAATACCCTTTTTGTAGTGTATGTACATTTTTACCCTCCACCACTTAAGCACAACTACGCCGGGGAGGAAAAATGGAAATTAAGCCAATAAAACCTTTTGTAGGATTTAAATCCGATTCGTCTTTGATGGTTTTATTCTACTGGCCTAAGCCGTATAATCTCTAACCGAAAATAAAAGCAATTGCTGTTGGACAGAAATTATTAGGAGCCACAATTTAATTTCTTTAAAAGCTTATTGCTGGATTCAATTACTGGTGCAAGAGATTTCATTTTACAAACAAGGGAAGCATTGCATCTTATAACTATGCAAACAAAGAGATGACATACATGAAGGGCAGTTGTCTACGTCTATAAGTCCAGATTATGTGCTGAGCTAATCATTTTAATGTACTCTGGATGTATACAAATTGGATTACAGTGCACTGAACGTAAGTAATTAATTATAAGCATACATTCGCGGTAATACCCACTCGGAAAGTAACAAGGCGATGCTTACTGTCAATCCACCATTATAACAATCTTCCAAGCAATTTTAGCTAATTTACTACCTAATAACTAATTTATATAGCTGCAATTTCAACGTTATATAATAGAAATGGGGAAAATGGCTAATTAACGTTAACGTTGCTCCTCTATTCGCTTTATTTCAAAGTGAGAACGCCGAATGTTAAAATTGTATCAGGGCGTCGAAATTAAACCCTTAACCTGATTGGCGATCTTTGTGCATCATTCATTTGTGGGTGCATTGCAAGTATTCCTGAGTACGAAACCGTGACCTAATTTGCCTTTATGTACGCGTAATGAATAATCATTTATTAGAATTTTATTCTCTACTGTTCCACAGGTAATTGCAGAAACTGTAATTTTACCCTGTCCCTTTGTGGATGGAGTTTTTTAATTTTTAGTACGTGTTTTGCAATGTGTGCCTTACTTTAAAACCTCACTGTTGGGCGACAATTTGTAATGGCCCCGCTCTTTTCTCAGGTTCCTGGTGTCATGGTGTGTACCTATTAAATTCTTCGCCTTCTTTCTTTCGTTGTAGTACATTTGAACCTACCTTACATACTTTTACTTTCCAGGCTAGTACAAATAAAATGGTTTAAGAAATCAAATGATTTTTCACTGCATTAATAACTAAAATCTGGAAAATTATTACAAGAATATTTTTACAAATTTAAATACCCGAGCATGTTTGAAAAAATTACGTAACTTACATATTGGCGTCAAATTTTTTTACTTCCCTTGGTAAGGAATTATACAGGGTGTTTTTTTGGGAGCTTTAGTTTCTGGGAAAGTAAAATAGGTAGGTTTTTGAAAATTTGTACTTAGGAGTTACGCTGAAGGCCGCATCGATGTAAACTATTTTCAAAATGGCCGCACTTCCGGAAACACCGGAAGTAAATAGTAACTTCGTTATTTTAAATAGCAACCCTAATTTTTTATTGGTTTTTTGGATTTTACGTGAAATTTCAGTTCTTTTGATACCCATATGTTGATATCTGCCATTTATGGTTTTTAAGTTATTTTGACTTTAAGAAAAAAAATGGCGGATGCAGATGGTACCTTGATAATTGATTACTTTAAAACGGTTGTAGTCATGGCAACCTATTTTTATCAGTGCATATAGAATGAATACAGCTTTCTTTTAGTGTACTTAAAAAAAAGTTAAGTTGCGTAAGACCGCCCCTATGGAGATCCAAATTTATGAAACTTCAAAGACTAAAAAAAGAGGCCTCGCACTTCAATATTTCCTCGCCAGTAATGTGTCATTTTCCGTACTTGTATGTAAATAACTATTTATTTACGCATTGGCTAAATTATTTTACACAACCTACAGTATACAAAGTGGACGTAATTGAGGTCAACTTTACATAAACTTACTTAGTTCTAAACGAGTTCGTGTATTAGCACTGACCGCTTGATATGTAAATTATTTTCTGCATAGGTTGGTACTAATTGAACCGATAGCACTTGATTTACTGCAAAATGGCGGCCTAAGTTTTTGATTCGCACTCAAATTTATGACGCCCTGCGTTATACTGCAGACTTTGCGATCGATTTCCGTCCAAATGAACGTATCGCAACTTCGCTAGATTGTCGAAGACGCATCGCGACAGTTTCGCCAATAAATTATTTTCGAGATTGATCTCCGCGACGCTGCACAGGCCCTCGAAGGCGTCGTCCGGCAAGTGCGAAATTTGGTTGCGATTGAGATCGAGCGCGATCAGCGAGCTTAGGCCGTCGAAAGCGCCCGACTCTATTTCGCGTATTTTGTTACCCTCGAGCGAGAGCCATCTCAAGTTGTTCAAGTGGGCGAATTGTTGAGCGTCGAGCGTGTCCAAGAGGTTGAAGCTCAAGTCGAGATTGACGAGATTTTGGCGAAACTGAAAAACGTCGGTTGAGAGTGACGTGATGTTGTTTTTCGTCAGTGTGAGGGTGTGCATGTTTGGGAAGTGGGGGAGCTTGTCGACTGACAGCAGCTCGTTTTGATCCAGCGAGAGGGTTCGTAATTGGGGGAAATGGCGAAAGGTATCCGTTGCCGTTGATGCAATTTTGTTGGCGTTCAAACGCAGGCAGTTCAGTTGAGTGCGGAGTAAGTTCAACGCACTCCCGTCAAAAATTTCGAAAGCGTTGTCACTTAGATTTAGGTGGTTCAAGTTTGGCAAGCCTTCAAAAGCATCTAGCGCTATTACTTCCAAAGAATTGCCGGATAGGTTTAAAGTCTGCAGTTTGCGCATTCGTTTAAACGCCGAACTTGGCAATGAAGATAACCTATTCTCATCTAAGTCTAGAGTGTTTAGAGCTACCAACCCCTCAAAAACCGCCTCTGATAGTTCACACAGGCCATTGTGATCGAGCTTCAAGTGTTGAAGCCGCGACAAAGAAGTAAAACGTCCCCCCTCCAATTTGGCAAGTCTGTTCGACGATAACTCTAATGTGACTAACGACGAGAGTCCGTTAAAACAACCATCCACAAGCGTGTCAATACAATTATCCGCAAGTCTAAGCATCACCAGCGAACGTAAACTTTTAAACACGTTCGTGGGAAGCTTTTTCAAACGATTCCGTTCCAAATTCAAATCCGTCAACGTTTCCAGACCGAAGAAGCTTCCCTCGAACAGCTGCATGATCCCATTCCCCTCCAGAGATAAAACCACAAGTTCCTCCAAATCGGCGAAGCTGTACTCAGAAATAACCTCAATGAAGTTATCGTCAAGCACCAGCGAGCCCGCAGCTTTCATCCCCGCGAACCCGCTCTTGCCCAGAGACCCAAGCTTGTTGCCGCCCAACTCAACATTAGCAACGTTCACCAACGGCTCAAAGCACTCCACGTCCAGCTCGTCGATTTCGTTACCGGCCAGCATTAAGTCCGTCAGTTTACTCAACCCTTTAAAGGACCGAGCGGTTAAAACGCGAACTTTATTATTCGACAAGTCGAGAAGGTGCAACTCCATGTTGTCTTCAAATCTCTCCGAAATTTCGCTCGCGCAATTATAACTCATGTCGAGGCTATGCAAAAGGTAAAGCCCGCGAAGTGCGCCCTGGTCTACGTCATCAATTCGGTTCCGCGACAAAAGGATGGACTGTATTTCCAACATGTTTCTGAAGACATTTTCCGGTAGGAGTCTAATCAGGTTGTTGGAGAGGTTGAGCTGCTGCACCTTCTTAAGACCGATGAACGTGTACGTGTTGATGACCTCAATTGAGTTACGCGACAAGTTTAGATTTTCGAGCGCGTTTAGCTCTACGAATAGGCCCGGTGGTAGCTGGTCGATGCGGTTTTGCGCTAAGGAAAGATGCTGTAAATTTGGAAGGCCGCGAAAGAGAGGATTTGGTAGCGTTGCTATTTTGTTGTCGTCTAGATTGATTGTGTGCAGCAGAGGGGTGTTGTGAAAGAGGTCGGGCGGTAAGTCTTCGATTGCGTTGCTTGGTAACATGAGGGTCGTAAGTAGAGCTAGGGATTTCGTGTCCAGATCGCGTAGATGGATTGGATTGTCACGAAGGTTGAGCCATTTCAGTTGAGTCATGTTGTCGAAAGTTTTCGCGGGAACCACCACTTTGTTGCCCTCCATGTTTAGCTCTGTTAGGCTTGTTAAAGTTGAGAGGAAGGAGACGTCTTGGATTTCGTTGTCGTAGAGTGAAAGTTCATTGAGGTTGAGAAAGTCTTGCGGTAGAGATGCTAGAGCGCTGTTTTTTATTGTTAATTTGGTGCAGTTTTTCAATGTGGATCCATTGTTCAAGTCGCGTAGTGTACAGTCTTGGATTGAAAGTTTGAAGTCGTTTTCGGATAATCGATTTTGCAGAATAGCATCTTCCACTGCTTGAACTACGGCCGAATCGGTGGTCAGAGAATTGCAGATTAAACTATTGCGTTTCTTCCACTTGGTCGTCATTTTTTGCCTGTAGACAAAGGCGATCGTAAAAGTTGTATACATAAGGGTTACGAATATACCAAAAAGGCAAACTTTATCAAGTACCAATACGAGGGTGGGGTTTTTTTCATTTGGGATCTCGGAAACCATAATATATACATACAGGTAGATATTCGGTTAAATGGGGAAAGAGTTGCCGTTTTTAGAGCTTATTCAAAATATGCTTTTGTTTTTTTTTAATCCACAGTTTACTAGATATGAGCGAAAAACTGATATTTTGATTTTTCTTTTAAATGTTGTACTATGCGACGAAAAATGAGTTGCTGTCGGGTCACCTTTGGAATTTTTGTTTACATTAGAAATCGTACTTCCAAAGGCGACTCGACAGTAACCCATTTTTGCGTTAGAATCGTTTTTATTAGAAATACAGAAAAGTGCAAAGACAAAAATTGTAGATCTTTTTCCGCTTAATAAGATACATTTATTAATTTCCATTCTTCCTTTATAATTTTTCGAATAATAACGCAAACTTTTTTTTAAATAGCAACCATAGTTGGCTTTGACGTTTTTAAAAGTACATTGTTTTCTGTTTACGGTGATATAAGGTTAGTTGTACTTACATTGACAAATAAATATGATACAGAACTGTTTGTATTAGTAGTAAGTAGGTAGTAAAAACAGAGTTTGCAATCGGAAACATTTTATCCTCTTAATTACTTAGTCTATTTTAATATTTCTTAAAACTTTAGAGCCACAAATAGGACGCAAAGAAATTAGGAATTATTACAATTTAAATTTCTACGTTGAAGTAATTACATGTAAAAAAATTATATCCATCTCGGCAAATGTTCAAAACGTCCACCCTTATTATTTACACATAGCCGAAATCTTTTCGCGATAGAATTTACAACTTTCCGTATATTATCCTACCATCTCCAATGCGAATAGTTATTTGTACAACTAGAGAAGAAAGTGGAGTTTTTCAACTCGCTTCCGTATCAATTGAACGAGAGTTGAAAAACTCCCCTTTCTTCTCAAGTTTTACACATCATTTTTTCTAAAACTACAATCAAAATTGAAAAATTATCGTATGCAATAATGAAGTTTGACACATAGCAATCTAGATACGAGTATGATTTAATTTTAAATGTCGTCATTAAGATTAATGCGGCAATTGTTTTTTACTTTCCTCACTAGAGAGGAAGATTACACTTTCTTCACCATTTTTAGACACGAAAGTATAGTTTTTCTAAAGTAGTTTCAGAAAAAGGCATTTACCACAGTACCACGTATTTTTTCTTTGGTCGCATACGTTCGTTGATAAATTAAATCCTTTAAAACACCGAAAAGATAAAAATCTAAAATTGAAAAAGCTGATGGCAATCTTGGTGACCAAATGACCGGCCCTTTCCTACCTATCCAAGAATGTGGAAATATAATAGTGAGGCAGAACACCGTCGTGTTGAAATCAGCGTAAATTACGTCGTGTTTCCAAACTAAGCCATCCAAACATATCTTGAAATTCATGAAGATAACGCTGGCTTGTTAAATTTTCATCGTAAATGAAAGGTCCAAGAATTCGCGATCCTATAATTCCGCACCAAACATTAAATCCAAATTTTCTTTGAGACCTTCAACAATGAACAGCAGTATTTTGTTTGTTTATTGTTTTCAATGGCGTGATACTTGACATTTGTAAACAAATTTATGTTGTAAAACAAGAACAATAAATATGAATAGGTATGAATATGAATATGAATGATATACGATACGAAATTGGTACGTTCATGACGTTAAGCATTAAAATGTCTAAAACTTTTATTCGTGTCATTTTGCTGTATTTCTAATAATAACGATTCTACAACAGTTAAATGAAAAATCACTAAATCTGTTTTTCGCTCATATCTAGTAAACTGTGGATTTTTTTCAAAAAACAAAAGCATATCTTGAATAAGCTCTTAAAACGACAAAATGTTTCCCATGGCAAACTCTGTTTTTACTACTCTCAATAATACACACAGTTCTGTATTATGTTTATTTGTCAATGTAAGTACAACGAACCTTGTATCACTGTAAACAAAAAAAATACACTTCATAATAAAATGTTTAAAAATAAATAACGTGCAGGTACTCTGCACAAGGCGTAAGATTACCCAAGAATGTGCGATTTTCGATAACAATTTTGCCAAATTTTTAAACATTGAAAAAAAAACTAGTAAAGGCAGTGACATCTATTGATAAATGTCATATAACGTTACAACATGATCCTTTTGGTGGCCTGAGAGATTTTTGCATAGCTTTGGGGGATCGTTAAATATTTTAGTTGTATTTCGGAACTAGTCGTATCTGCAAAAATATATATCCCAGAGCCCTTAATAATTTGTGACATAATTGGCCCTAGTTAGACCAGTTAAGAGAGAGAGAGAATTATTTTGTGCCTTAGAAACAAATAACTACAACTCGGAGTTCAGCATGCATTTAATTTTTCAAACGAAAAACTGAAGTAACTTATCTGAAAATCCACCGGAAGAGACAGCCCCCGACAAAGATGAACGCTATGTAGTTTAAAGCGAATATTTGATCTCAATAAATAATAGTTCAAAGTATTTCTGGCAAGTATTTACCTACTCGTCGTAAAAGATTGCAAAAGTGCAAAAGATTACGGTGCATTTTCCTGAGAACGAGCAGTTTTACGAAGCCATCGCGTTGGAAAAGGTTAATTAACTAATTGAATATGACTACTATGCCATCTTCTTTTATCCTTACTCAGATGGATACACTTGATGAAGGAGGTCGAGTTAAAGATTAAAAGGAATGAGTTATTTTATATGTGCATGCACACAATACAATTGCATTGTCCAAAGGGCGGATTTATAAAAGTTGGAATCAAAACACTTGTACCACGCTATGATAAGTGCGTCAATTTGAATGGAGCTTGTGTTGATAAATAGCCCAAGAGTGTGTAGCCCCCAAAATATATATAATAATAGATTTTCTTTACAAGTTTAAAATGTTGTATTGCTACTTTCTGGACAACCCTCGTATTATTATTTTTATATATCTAGTATTATTTGTTTATGATGCATTAATAACAGATCATTAAGATCCTGATAGAAGATTTGTACAACGAACTGATTTCCCGATTACTGTCAGAAATTAAAATGACAAAAGGTCGTTCATACAAGAAAACTACCATACTACCAGATTGATGAAACACAAAAGTCTGTAGAAAATGCCCCATACAAAAAACTTGTTTATAGCCTGAATTATCACTTATCAGTAGACCGTCAAGGTTGCTGTGTCGGCTTTAAGCCCTTTTTCCATGCATGGATCAGGTCATAGCTATTTATATGAGTTTTATTCTTTACGGGAAGCATCAATGGTTAAAACTTCAAAAAGATATCTCAATAAATAATTGTTAGAAAATGCGCTAAAAATTGATCTCCAGCGATTCCATGTGCAAGGTCCTTATTAACGAGCTCCTATTGAGTTTATAATTTTGCGGTGTCTGTCCGTCTGTTCATCCGTACCTACTATGTAAAATTTGTTGTTCTCATTTCGGCCAGTGTTTAATCAATCTAAGACAAGGTCAGTTTTTAGGGGCAAGACTATAATCACAGACAAAAGTTTTGCATAGGTATCTCAACATTAAAAATCGGGTAGTAAGTAAATGTTAAGAAACTGGGTCGATTACCTTTTATGATCATTGTTGAAGGGTAACGTAGCGTAGACTGAATTGATTAGATCTAAAATTGTGTCTCAATATCAGAAACCGATTTGTAACAAAGTTGTAAATATGTAGGTATGTAAAAGTTGCGCTTTTACGGTTAGGGGCAGATTACATTTTACGATTGTTGTCGGAAGCTAAAGTAGGGTGGATTCAGAAATTGTAATTGGTTCTTGTTTTACATATTTATTGCCAAGTTTAAATTAAATATGACAATCTAACTTCACGCGAATTGTTAAAGGATCATCTAAAACCGCCCTTTAAGAAATTTTCGTATAAATTACAGAGGGGAAAATGTTAATTGTTGAAGAAGACGAATTCATTATCCAATTTCTTTTAGAATATAACATGGCACAAAGCAAAAATATGTATCAAGAGCACGATGGTGGTCCTTTTACAGCTGCCCCTGTACTGGAGTCCTGTACACATTTTAGTACTGATTTGTGTAACTAACAAACTCGAATGCATATAGTAGTCACAAAAACTTGGGTAGACATTACCGTATTCTGGACAGGAGTTTTGTAGACGCCATTTTCCAAAATGGCCGTCACCGATTTTATTTTTCATATATTTCTGCCCCTGTAACAGTCATACTTTGGGCATACCCAAATGGCGCCCGGGCATGCATTAGAATTGCGCCCCTTCGTAAATGAACTTAATATAAAATAAGATATGAAGACTCGCGTATGATTTTCAATAGGCAAGGGATTTTTGTGTGCACCGCTCGAACCCAATTAAATGAGCTGGCATTCGGAAACACGACTTTTAATTCGGATAAGGACTGTATTATTTATTATTATTTCTGAATACCGAAATACTTAATCCAGGAAACGAAGCTTAAAATAGCAATTTTTTCAAAATGCATCGATTTGCATTTACAGGACTATTTGAATGAGCACGAAAAAAAATTTTTTGAACCAGTGGTTCACAAACTGTAGATACCAACTTTGTTATTTTAAATGGAACTATATATCTTTTATTTCCTTGTTCAATAGAAAATTTTATTCTGAATTCAATGTATACCCTTAGATAACAATTTTTATGAGAAAAATGCATTTGGAGATTTATTTCATTATAGCTAAAATAAGTGTGCCATGGACGAAACAAGTTAAATATGGATTCAGATTTTAGAGTGCTGTGACCGAAACAATAGCGCTATTTATATTGTTTACAACTGTCAGTTGTTATTAATGAATTATTATTGTAGTGTGAATACTGAATGAATAATTCATAATTTCACTCATAATGAAATAGTTGATTTGTATCGAACCTTTGTATATTCAAAGGTACGAACCTTTGAT